ATAAACACATCTTCCACCCACCACACAAATTTTAGCCACAATTGAACAAGCAAGAAAGCAACAAATATCAGGCTGCATCTTGAAAACAACGAGATACCGCATTACAACCAGTCATTACAAACATGAAATCCTCCACCCCTCCCAGTACACCCTACAGCATTAATGGTTCCTATACTCATTTGCATCTATGTACAACAAGCTTGGCCAATATATGCACACATAATTTTTCTCTGATTCAAAAATTGTTGATAATAAATAAATATATTATTCAAAATCAAAATGAATGATTATGTTTTTATTTGAGTTTGATGTTGTATTGCATCAGTAGCCGATGCTTTTCATCTCATCGGTTTGGAAACGTTTTTATAATATACCACATAATTTGTATCCACGAGAGGGCGCTTCGTTTTTTGTTTTTTTAGTGATGCTAGCTAAAGAAACTATTATGATATCATAGATACATAGTAGACACTTGCATTCTGTGTCATTTGCATAATCGATCGCCGTGTGTTTATTTTTCTAAGTAATTTAGTAATTCTGCGGTCATTACGCAATGAATTACCCCAGCTTCCTCCGTCTTTTTTTCCGCTTCGCTTTTCGGTAGTTCTTCACTAGCGAAAACGGGAAACAGACGGAGGAAGCTGGATTAGCAATGTATGAGAAATGACCACTATAAATGGGTTGTGCAAACTTACGTGCGCGAAGATGTTAAAGGTCGGCGATCCTGTTCGATATGGGACTCTTAGCGACGTTAGAACTCGCGCTGCGCGACGGTCACTGCCCTTTAAAGTTGAATAATTCATAGTTATTTCCTGAATTTATTGTTATAACATACACATATTAACAGACATCTGAAACTACCAGAAATATTCGAATTATTAAAATCTTGAATAATTCATCAAACAATGCAGTATAAAACCGCGATATTCAGTCATGATGGTCAATGGTTCAATCTGCATACATGGAATTTGTTTATGAAAACTCAAAAAGTACTTAAGAGAATAGGTTACGGAAGTTTCTGTGAATCGATCACAAATATACGATTATCTAATCTATGAGGAATGTTATTTCGTGAAGGAATACTGTCGCCCAGTAACTGACAAAACTGTGAGCAAATATTGATAACTTAAACAGGATGGCGTACCACAAAAATAATTTATTCATGCCCCATTGTTATATGAAAAAGCTTCAATCAAATTAAATTCATCATCTTTAGCGCTCAATTAGACTGATAGGATATTTTATATATGGTATGATATATGCTACACATAATGACATAAGATTATTTAAATTAATTTAAAATTAAAAAGTGATTGACTTGATACTGAACAGATAATATTATTTATCATTACCCTGCCAAGCGAGTGGAAAACAAAGCCCAGAATACCGTGAT